TATATGCTGAAAATATAGCATATACTGAAGCTATGTATACTAAGTCATAACTGTATCTGCATAGCACCTTCCCTCAGAATATCCCGGTATTAAGAGTGGACCTTGCTACAGTTTCAATGTGTCCCCCAGAATTCATGTATTAGAAACTTATCCCCAGTGCAACAGGTGAGGTAATCGGGTTATAAGGGCTCTGCCCTCAGGAATGGATTAATGTCATTATCAAGGAGTGAGCTAGTTATTGGGAAAGTTGGTTCCTAACAAAAAGGATGGGTTGAGCCACTTCCCTTCACTCTATCGTCCATGCTCTCTTGACCTTCTACCCTCCACCACAGGATGATGATGCAGCAAGAAAGCCTTACCGGAGTGGGGAGTCCCTTGCATTTCTCAGCCTCCAGAAATATAAGAAATAAATCTCTGCCCTTTATAAATTACCCAGTCTCAGGTCTTCTGTTATAGCAGCACAAAATGAGTAAGACAGACCTCAAGACCTAAATAATGTATGTGGGACTTTACTGGTGTGGGCAAAGAATAGGAGAAAAAAAGTTGAAAGATGGAGGAGACTCTTTGGTCTCACTGTTAATTCGAATCTGTTCACACTACAAAAAGTACGTCGCAAGAGTAGCCAGGTTCCTAAGGAAGAACAGGTCAATGTCGACGATGATTAGGTTTCATTTTTTTCTGGTTACCTAGCAACAGCAGGGCACTGTGTAGTCTCCCTTTTCTGGTAAAGCCCTTTAATATTACAGCTTAAAGGAGAGAGAAAAGGAGGTTTTCACTTATAGAAAGACACCTGTAAATCATTGTCTCTGTACTCGTTCCTTTGATCACCCTCCCTGAAGCTCAATCATAGGAAAAATTACAAATAGCCAGCTTCTGTCAGAGCAGAAAGTAGACATGGAAATCCAGGTGAGGCAGGAGGAGAACGTCTTGAGGCTCAGCAGTTCTTTTTTCAGTCACTAACAAGAGGCCATTATAATCTCTGCCACATTTTATCTAAAGACACTATTATTTAGACGGATGTACATACCTGCTGGCATGCTAATAACAAAACTGCTTGTGACTCTGCCCTTCTGACAAGGATCTTTGGTTGATAGAGATGATAGGAAGCAGTGCTGGCAGGAATAAAGAACACAATGTTCTTTCAAGGCGCCATTTTTGGGGAGGGGTGGCCTCTGCTATACTTCATTTCATCCCTTCTCCCAATAGGAGATAAGGTGTTATGGCTTGAATATGTTCCCCCAAAATTCATGTGTTGAAAGTTGGTTGCCTCTGTGATGGTATTAAGAGGGTAGAAACTAAATCTAACTACAGTATTATGAGGCAGGATCTTTGAGAGATGATTGGGATGAAATAAGGATGAGGATAGGGACCCTGTTCTGAATATTGGTTCCTTTATAAGAGCAAGAGAGGCCAGAGATGACAAAAGTTTCTGCCTTGTTGTCACAGGACACCCTCCACCACCTCAGGATTCTACACAGAGTCCTGACCTGCACGAAGGCCCTCAGATGCAGTCCTTTGACTATGGACTTCCAGAATTATGAGCTGAATAAAACTTTATAAATTATTCTGAATATTCGGTTAAATATGAACTAAAACATGGGAGTAGTGAGGGAAGAACATACAAGGTTACAGGAGAGTTCATCAAGAGCTGGAATGTGCTTCTAGAGGGAAGGAGGACTGTAAAGGGAAGAAAGAAAGAGAGAAAGTGAAGCTGCACTTACAGCTTTGTTCAGTTTTAGACATCCTTACCCTTTAGAAGTCAAAGGGGTACAAATTTTAAAAATTCACTTATGGTATGGTGACTTCATTCTGCTGACCCTGATTCCAGATCCTGTACCTCAAATACTAGGAATTCAGTAATGGCCAAACACGTAACTCCTGAAGGTGCCTCTAGCTTCCATCATCTATAGAGCGCCTTCTCCAAGGATAGGCCTATGCCAGATCTCTCACATCATCATCTCTTTAAGTCTCAATATGTTGTATCCAACAATTCACAGGTTGGGAAACTGAGGCACAGGTTAAACTGTGCAACATCATATAACTGGGAAGCAATCTAGATTTAAACTCAGGACCACTGCCACATGAAGACAACTTGATCATTTGATCAAAATTCTCATGATCCTGGGACCAGCAGTTAGCGTAATGGCTATGTCGGTGAATTCCCACATAGTCGACCGTGGTTTGAGTCCCAGACCTGGTGGCTTAAACTCATGCTGGGGGCGTGTGCGTGCGTGCCCAAGATCCCGCGAGAGGAGAATGGAGGAGAAGGGATTATGGTGTGGCCATCGCCCCTGGGGGGTGATTTCTTGCTTTCTGTCTCTCTGTCTCTCTAGCGGGAAAAACAAAACAAAACAAAACAAAAGATTCTCATGATCCTCATTTCTCATAGGGCTGGAAACAGCTTGACCAACTTTTGTGAATTAAGAGACCCTGGCTTTTTTAATACTCTACCTCCCTTAAATACTACATTTTGAAAAGTTGGCTATTAGATAAAAGAAAGAGAAGGAGGAGAAAGAAAAAGAAAAGACAGCTGAGCCTCTCAAAACTGGCATAGCAATTGTTACAGAACTAAGAAACTCCCTCATTTAATCAAGCAAACACAAATATCCTCACAATAACTTCACTCTCGAGATGCTATATCTAGAATAGTCTCCTGAAAATCCACGTGTTGAGCCATTGTAACAGGATAAAGAGGGTGAAAACTTAATCTGATTATGGTGTCAAAAGGTGGTGCCTTTGGGACGAGATTAAGATTAAGGCTGGGACCAGCAGGTGGCATGGTGATTAAGGCGCTGGACACTCCCACATGGCTGACAGGGTTCAAGTCCTGAATCTGGTAACTTGCTTTCTCACTTCCTCTCTCTCTCTCACTCTCACCCTCTGTCTCTCTCTGGTCAAATTAAAAAATAAATGAATGAATAAATAAAATAAATAATTATTAAAAAAAAAAGATTAAGGCCATGAGGGTGGCATTTCCAGGACTAAGTTCTGGTAGGTTTTTAAGTAGAGAGAATGAGAAGGACCCACATGGAATACGAACCACGCTTTGCTTCATACTATCATATTCTTTTATCTTAACTTTAATTGTAGGCTTTAGTTCTGGAAAGAACCTACCAGAGGAGTGCCTGGACTCTGCACCCCCAAACAATGACTAAACTTCTACTTTGACAAATTGCTCAATTTCAAGTATTTCCTGATATTGGCTGTGGAACAGACTAGAACACAGGGCAAGCCTAAAAATCAGCCAAGATTGTTTTTTGTCCTATTTTACTACATTGAGAGACAAAACTATAGCTATTTGTGACCACAGCATACATTCACACTTTTAAATCCCTTCTCCAGCCATTGAACGAAGTAACTTCACTTCCAAATGCAAATATTCCTCAATTAAACTGCTGATGTGTTTAATATTACACACACACACGCACACACACAAACCCTCAAAAGTTCCACGTAGCAGATAATGGCAGATTGAGCAGGGACATAAACCACTACAGTGCCACCTCCTTGCCAACAGAAGGTCCAGCCAGGGATCAAGAAATACTACAATACATTAAAAATGAAAACGCATCTCTTAAATGAGGCTGCTGGAGGTGACTGATGAGCAATGTAACAATGCCAGGTATACGGGAAACCCTTAATCCATGTATGTTTATCTCCTCTGAGATGTGAAGCATGTAGCAAAAAATTCAAAATACTGGTGAGTCTAGATGTCTGGGAAGTCCCCTTATGGCTTCAAGAGAAGACTTGTTCAAAAAGAGACAAAGCGTCAAATATATATCATGTCAGAAAGAATTCTTTTATCTTAACTTAAATTGTAGGTTTTAATTCAGGAAGAGAGGGAACCAAGAATGAATGGGGAGGAGGGGTGGGGCAGCACGCGCGCGTGTGTGTATGTGTGTAGGGAGCATACGTGGGAGCGCGCGTGTGTGTATGTGTGTAGGGAGCATATACTTTTAATCAAATTGCTCAAATAAGAATTAAAAAAAAAAAAAAGGAGAAAAACACTTCTAGGTGAGAACATGTTGG